GGAGATTATGATTTGTGATTTGGGACTAGAAATGTATTCATCTTTTTTTGGACCCTGTCTTCCCTTCCTTTGTCCTCCAAAATAAACACTCCTTCTTTGACATTCCCTCTTGAAACTTTGACCTCCATGTAGATCATAAAGGTTAGGGTCTCCTGTCTTTTTTTTTCCGTGTTCCTCCCCAGAAAACCAGGATTTGGCCCTCCCAAGTCAGCAGGAGTCAGGCTAGCTACTTTATTATTCTAAGGAAGGTCTTTGCAAGTCAAAAGTTTTTGTTTTTTCATTCTGGAGAAGGCCTGAGAAATGTGACGCTCCTGCTTGCTGCAGAGAGAGGGGACACTTTTCACTGCATACGAATGGCAGTCATTCTACAAAACAATCAGGATGGCAAGAATGCTGTCTGAGATTGCTGGGCTCCTGGAGGGTAAGCGCTGTAAAAGAAAACGCATGAATTTACAACGTGGCAAGTCTGCGTGCCAGTCGACCTGCCAGCGAGTGGACTCATCACCACCCTGTGGGGTTTCTGAGGCTGCAAATCTTCATGGGAGCAGGCAGCCTCATCTTTTCCACAGAAAGGCTGGCGGGTTTGAATCACCCACCTTAGAGTCAGCAGCCCAGCCCCTAGCCCGCCGCTGTTTAATCATCCGTTGCCTCTCTGAGACCCATTTCCCCCCTGGGTAGGAAGGATAACAAGCCCTCAGCTCTGTGGAGTATTGAAGGAGAGTGTAAACCTACGCCTGATAGGTGCTTCCATCTACCACGGACCCACTAGCCTCCCCAGGGTTTTCTTAACCAGTAAGTAACCAGTGGCCTGTAAGTGGTGTCTGACTCCCGTAGACTCCGTGTGTGTTAGAGCAGAGCTGTGCTCCAAATGTTTTCATCGGCTGATTGGTCAAAAACAGTGTCAGGCATTTCTCCACAACAACCTCGAGGCTGACTCTCACCCCCAACCGTTTCTGTGCCAGCCACAGGTCCTGGGCTTGTACCATTTAGGAGTTTCCTCCAAAACTCACTGTAGTCCAATCAATTCCGACTCATAGTGACCAAATAGGACAGAGAACTGCCCTGGTGGATTTCTGAGACTGTTGGCTGGTTAGGCGAGTGGAAAGCCTCCTCTTTCTCCCAAGGAGAGTCTAGTGATTTTGAACTGCTGACCTTGGGGCTAGTAGGCCAACATGTAACCAGGACTCCTGTAGGATCCTCCTCGGCATCCCTAATTCTACCTCCTTCATATTGTTAGCTTTCTGCAATGGTTTTCCCCGGTTCTTAATTCTCAACGCTGATGGAATTCATACACAGTCTCAGATGGTACAGCCTAGTTCTGAAAAGCATGCCTTGCCACCTGGCAGGGGTGTGGCAGAGTTCTCACTGAGAATGGCTGCTCCAGGGGAGTGCGGACAAACCACATGGAAAATGGAGCTGGAACGGAAAAGGGAAGCTGGAACCTGCTTTTGTTTTGTTTCTAAACGATTCTCTTGGGACATAATACACATAACATACAATTCAGTAGTTCAGTCATACCGAGAAGAGTTGTAGGACAATTACCACGATTAATTTGAGAACATTGTCTTCTTTCTTGTACTCCGTGTCATTAGTTCCCCATGCCCCCCAACCTCCCCTGCCAGACCCCCAAGAAACCATGAATGCAGTTACTGCCTCTCTAGATTCACCCATCCTGCATGTCATTTACCGAAAAACACACAAAAACAAAAAGCGAAGAAAGAGAAAAGCTAACAACCACAACAAAGAAATAGTGAGGGAGAAAAGTTCAATTGAAAAGAAAGCAGAAAATATTTTAAACTATTTGAAAACTTTAAAATGGGTGAGAAGCAACAGTGTTGCAGGCACTGGGTAAACATATTTGCCATCTAAATCACAATGGGGACCGTACAGGCTTGTGTGTCCAGGTGCGGTGAGGCGGTGGCTAAAGTTACTGAAATATGGGAATGGGCTCCTGAACAGGTTTCCCTCAGTAAGGTGATCTCCTTCCAACAGATTTTCAAGCTCCACCATCACACTGTGGCCAATCTGTCTTGGACCCTGAATCTATCAAACATGGGTGGTTTTTTTCCCCCTGTTTTTTACTGTTTTGTCACCTTAATGGTACCCAACTTGTTACAGATGAGCCAAAAGGAAAGGGGCGTGGAATAGTAACAAATGAATCTGAATGAGACCCTAAAGCTTTGGAATGAATCTGTCAGGAAGTTGATGGATGTTTAGAAACCCAACTTCCTTTAGTTTCTGATCCAGGGTCCGTGTTGGAAGATTTGTTGATGTGACTGACTGTCATGAGAAGAAGATGGATAAGATAAGAGAAACTTGGGAGCAGTAGAGACTAGGGGAGACACTTTTTCCCTATCCCATTTTCCCTGGAATTCCCAATTTTGTGGGCTTTACTAGTGAAAACTCCAGAGGCCTGTGGAAAAAGCAACAAGCAAGGCTTGTTTTCCTTGAATGACCATGTAGATAGGCCAGCAGGGAGGAGTTTGTTTCTGAAAACCCCTCCTAAGAGTATTTGCAGGCATCAGCCAGGTCCTGGGAGGAAAGCGTCCCCCCAGCAGGTGACTGGGTCCTTTGGAAGGAGGCTCACTTAGGAATAAGGGGAGAGGGCTTCGTTTATTCGCTCACCCCTCATCGCGTCACAACTCAAGGCTTCATGATGGGTAGTTTGGTCTCTATATCTGTTGGGTAACCTCAGGATCAGATACTTTTTTTCTTGGAGTCCAGGGAAATCATCTTTATTGTTGGTTGGCTGTTTTGTCCATAATTTGGGGGCTTATAAGAGTGTCTCTCCTATTCCCCCTTCCACCACTACTACACCTCAACACACAAAGCAGACACGCTCTCTCTGCTACAAACTTTAGTGTGTTTGTACTTTCCTTAGAAGAAGGACTAGGTAGATTTTCCATTTCCATGACATGGACTACATTTTAGGGATTTCCCATGGTCTCTAGCTATTGTATGTTATTGTGTGTCATCTGTGCCATTGTAGGTCATTAAGTTGATTCCAACTCATAGAGGCCCTGTGGGACAGAGTAGAGCCCCAGAGGGTGTCCTAGGCTGTAATTTTTACAGGCACAGCTTTCCTTCCTTGGAGCAGCTGGTGGATTTGAGCCCTGATCGTCCGGTTAACAGCCACGTGCTTAACCACAGCACCGCCAGGGCTTGTAGTTTTCAATGTAGCAGAAGCTCAGGAGATCAGAATGGACTTTCAAGACACCTAAGTAGGTTGCTCCTCAGATGGCCACTTCCTGGGGGATCATTTCACCTTCTTTTTCACTCAAAAAATTGGACTGATTATTCCCTTTTAGAGGTAAACATATATATAATGAATTGTATTTGCATTATAATATAGTGATGCATATTATGAATTCTTTACTTTTTTGTTATTGTCAGATTGAAAAGCACAAACCCAAAAAGGAAAACAAAATCCACTGCATTTTGATATTACCTGTTGGCAAATAATTCCATTGATATGTTTAACAAACTTGCATTCATCCTGAGAATGCTGTTCCTTCCATTCATTATATCACCCATGTTTTCTATGTAACTATTATTTCTCAGAATAATACTTTAAAAAAAATCATTTTATTAGGGGCTCATACAACTCTTATCACAATCCATACAGAATAATACTTTATGGTTGCCTTATGTTCCACTGTAGGGCCATGATTTAACTAGCTGGCCTGACTGATGAACGTTTTTAAATGTCTTTCTAATTTAGAATGATGAGCTAGTGATCAGTCGTTTTACTTCGTTTCTTCAAGATATTAGAAATACTTCTTGGCAGGATGCACAGCCTGTGCAGACAGGAGAGAGTCTCAATGCTGAGATATTCAAAGTTGGGGGGCCAGAGACTCAACCCCAGTGCTTTCTGTCATGGGAAGATGTAGCAGTGCAAATGTGGAAGGTAAAACCCACAATTCTCAGTCATTTGTCCTGGGGTCCAAGTCTTGATGTACAGACACCGCAGGAAGCCCAGTTTAAGACAGTGACCACATTTTGAATATGGTTCTAGTTCAAAGGGCTTCCTTGTTCCCTCAAGTTGCTTGGGGTGCATTAAGATAAGATCTTTGAAATCTGGGAACCTGGATTGTTTTCCTATTGGCCAGTACCTAGGTATTAATTTTATTACCTGTCACATTGAAATCAAGGGGTTTGGCTAGTACCCGTTTGCTCTTAGGCTGAGGAATAATTAGGACACACACTTTTCTCCTGCTGACCCTAGGGTTTCCGAAATTCAAAAATGAAAAGGTCCCATCTGGGTCAGTTCTAGAAACATTTATTGTAAAATGAAGTTGAAGTTCCCAATCTGGGAAAGTAACAAAAACAGGGTCATTTGGCAGCTCTCTGGGGACAGGGGTGTGTGGGAGGGTGGGGGACCCCTCTTGTGGAACTTTGTCTATGTCAGTTGTAGTCACCTGGACACTTAGGGTGACCCTTCCTTCTCCATGGCGCTGGAGAAGTCCTTGGGTTATGCTGGGTGCTACCTTCCTCAAGGTTGGGTGGGAAGAATTCTTAAAAGTGCATCCTTGGGGGAAAAACCTAATGCCCTCTATCCCCCAGTAGGCAGCTGTGTGGCCTCAGCCCCACGGATCTGCATGGACTTGTAGCTGATCTTTCAGAAGACGAGAGTGGTGTCTTAACCAAATTCTGCCATTTTTACTTCCATTCTCTCTGTTCCCCGAAAGTAACAAGTACTTTGAGGGTCCATTTGGAGATGGGCCCTAAATAAACTCCATTCAGCAAGCTGCCTAAACACAGGCACCAAGACTGGAAGTAGCCCGAAGGAAAGTTGATCTGGGGTCAGAGGCCCAGGTTCCCACTGAGAGGAATATGCCTGTACCATCTTGAGTCTGCAGCTCCCTCTCTCATCAGTTATCGTAGGGACTTCAGGCCCACCCGTGCCTTCCCATTTGGGTCCCGTCTGCTTTCTCCCCAAGAGGAGCTGTGCCCTCCCTCCTCCACGGTCAGGTCACAGAGCAAGTGAGTGGGTGCAGGCGCTATTGAGCCCTGCCCTTGGCCTGGGGCCCCGTGCAAAAGTATTTGCTCACAACCTGCCGACACTGGTCGCACTTGACTGTGCAGCACCACTGGAATTTACAGTGACAGCTGCGGGTGACCTCGCTCCTCCTCTCCTCCACCTGCAGGCCGCACTCGGTGCACAGGTGCCGGCAGCTGCGCTGCTCCCCTCGGGCCGGGCCGGGGCGCTTCTGCAGGCACTCTCGACCCTCGGTGCCGCGGAAGCTCAGGCTGGAATTGTGGACACAGTAATCTGGCGACTCCTCCAAGAAGACCAGCTCCGCCTCCGCGCTGGGAAGGAAGGGCTCCGTGGGTGCCCGGCGGCCCTCTGCGCTGTTCCCGGTTCGTAGCTGCCGCTTGTCCATCTCGATTTTCAGTGCCCGGTCATACTTGGCCTTGAGGTAGTCTCCCGTCTCCCGGAAGTCCGCCAGCTGCAGCCAGCACGTCTGCACGCTGCAGCTCCCGGAGATGCCGTGGCATTTGCAGGTCCTCTTCATGGTGGCTCTCACTGCCTTCACACACACACACACACACACACACACACACACACACACACGGAATGAAAGAGAGGACAGCTGAGGCTGGAGTTCTTAGTGTCACAGGAAGTTCTGGGGGATGCTCTTGACAAATATGGGTTCCTGGCTCTACCTCAGACCTTGTTAATTAGCATATATGTGTGCAGGGGGGTGGTCAAGGGCCTCCCTAGCAGCCCTTTTAAAGCGTTCCCCTACTCCTGGGATCATTGGGATGGTGAACCAGGAAGGAGCTGAGAAGGTGACTGGGCCCTGGGGACCAGAAGCTCCAGGTCCAACTCAGTCACTTGTGGAGCTTGGTTTCCCACCTGCCTTGTAGAGGAGGTATATAAAATAAAGATCAAGAAAGTAAACTTATAACAGAAAACAGAACCATTGCTATTGTTATTGTCTTGAAGCCGGAGGTAAGGAAGCTCCTGGCCTCTGAACCCCCAGCCCGACTCCCTGGTGGTTGTTTCCTTGACAACCTCTCCCCCAGGACAACCAGGTACAGGGAATGCTTATGATCTTGGACTCTGGGTCCAACTTGCTTTCAGATTTGGGTCCAGAATCCTCCCAAGGCTGCTGTGCCACAGGGATGAATGGAAATCCCTGGGGTGGGGGTGGGGGAGAGAGTCTCTAGAGGAACCTGGATCCAGAGGAACTTGCGAATCCCCTGGCAGCCCAGATGGACCCGAGGACATGGACTGGACAATAAACCGCAGTTCCTTTCCTGGAGCATGTAGTTGGAGGGATCAAGTGCTCTGGAAACTGGGCCTTGAGTCTGCACTGGTCAGTATGCCCTGAGGCCTGCCTGTGGAGGGGCCAGCGCAAAGAGTTTGGTGTTAAGAGGTCTAGATGGGGAGTTAGATGACTGAAGTTCACTCCCTGGCTCCCAGACTTATTCGTTGTGCTGCCTCGGATAAACCACTTGGTTCAGGCTCTCCAGGCTCCATTAGGGAGAGGATGGGGGTGGCCATCCCAGTCCTGCTGGGTGGCAGGAGGATGGAGCGTGTGGGCACGAGATGGCTCTTGGGGAGTTGGACAGGCCTGTGGGGGAGAGGCGGTGGTGGCCCTTGGGCTGACTGCAGGTACCCACCAGCCTGCCCGCCCTGTTGTTGTGCAGGTTCATCAGGGCCCTGGTGTCCTTCCCCTTCTCCAGGCTGTCCACAAAGAGTTTGGAGATGCGTTCTCCAAATTCCACATTGTCGCTGCAGCCTCCCCAGATCCAGCCGGGGCCTCCTACACAGAAGGAAAGAATAGGCTCTGCAGACAGCTTTCTTCGGTGGGCCGAGACGATGGATCGGGACGCACCGAACCTGAGCGCCTGAAAAACTCCTAAAGCTGAAGGGGGACGAGGCTAGGTGGAGGCGGCCTTGTTCTCAGGGCCAGGGCGCACCCTGCAGGTACTTCCTAGCTCTAGGGCCTAAGTCTCCTACTCAGGGACATTGGGGCCGGCCTCCAAATCAAATTCACTGTCGTCCATGTGGGCAAGGGCAATGCTGACTCAAAGGGACCCCCTGTGGGTTTAGAGATGGTAAGTGTTTATGGGAGTAGAAAGCCCAGTCTTGCCCCCTGAGGAGTTGCTGGTGGTTTCAAACTGCCGACCATGCAGATTGAGGCCCAACGCGTAACCACAATGCCACCAGGACTCCTGGGGCTAGCCTAGATGGTCTCCAAAGCTCAGCCCAACTCAAACGTTCTGGGATTCTGGACTGTTACTCAACCACAGTCCAGAGATTCCTCCGCTGTCATGCGTGAGAACTCTGTCTGCATCAGTCTCTGGGTGTCCTGTCAATAGTAACAGATAACCCAAGCCTAAGCCAACTTTAGACTCTCTTTGGTCTCCTCATTCCTACTTGCTTCTAACATTTGGAGCTTGGTGATCTGTGAAAATCTCTGGATTCCTGGACCCATGCTCAACTCTCAGAAGAGTCTCGATCCAGGAGTTCCTGCAAATGAGGATGCTGTTGGAGTTGAGGGGATTGAAGGAACTAAGTCTGCCTCAGGGTGTCTGTCTCTGCAAGACTCTGGCCTGCACTCAACCCTGCAGCCCTCACCTCTTCCTCCCCCTCTAAGAGACCCCCAGCGTACCTGTTTTCCCATTTTTTGACTCATCACAACCGCAGTTTTCAAAGTCTCCCATGCTACAGTTCTTGGTGATGGTGTACATGACTCCAGCGGAGCTGATCGCGTGGATGAAGGATGTCTCCCTAGTGGCTTTAGAAAGAAGGAGGGGCTGGAAGTGTGGACCCTGATAATCTAAAGCCGAGGCTTTGCACAAGTAATGTTCTTCCTCTCCTTTGACAACCCCCCCCCCCTTGGGTTTAGGAGAAGAGTGCTCTTCTACTTGAGGAGGTCCTGATGTTACCGTGAGCAAGCACCTCCGTGCTGCAGCAGGCTAGAGTAAACCTGAGAGCCGGTGAGAGACAACAAGACTACCATCCTCACCACTGTTCATGGGAGTAGAAAGCCCAGTCTTTCCGCCCTGAGGAATTGCTGGTGGTTTTGAACTGCCGACCATGCAGGTGGAGATGGCATCAGGGCTCTGCTCTCCCGAAGTCCAGCCAAGAGTTCTGTCTGCTAGCCACTGCTACTCAGCCTTGCACAGCCCCGTAGGGTCATGGGGCTCGGGAAGGAGAGAGGACTTGTCTTCATCCCGACCATTAAATAATCATAATAATGAGCATGGCTATGGCTTACTAAACTCCAGAGAAGGCATAGGCAGAGGGCATGCCCTTTCTCATGACTTACGGGGCAGGGGGGGGCGGGTCATTCTGAGTGGCCAAGGCGATGGGGGGAATCACCAGCTCTTCTCATCCGTCTCTCTGTGGCAGGGTGCAGGAGCCACCAACCCCATGCCGCCACATTTCCTTTCCACAGACTCCATCTGTGTTCACGCCTACCTCGCCCCTCTGCCCTCACTGCCAGCTCTTGTCAGGCAACTCTCCACTGTCGCTGCATGAAGGACTTTTAGCACACTGCCACACACAAGGACAAAGAGCTCTGCAAGTGTGCAAGTCAGGACACATGCACGCGCGCGCGCGCGCGCGCGCGCACACACACACACACACACACACATGCCACCCCCACCAGAGGTGCAGCTCAATCTATGGCAGCTTCTCTACTGTGGAGATTGTGTGACAACTGGGCAGATGCCCCACTCTCTGGGGTGCTACCAACACACAGCCCTCTCCCCATTTTTTGTTCATGCAAATCAGCAAGAGAGAACTGTGTACAAACACATCAATACAGGTGCACACTCATATTTATATAGAGATGCCTTGCTATCCACCTCATTTGATCCTTAGACTACCACCACTGACCTACGCAGAGCTGGTCTTACTGGCCCTCATGACCAAAAATGCAGAGAGAAGGGCAGTGACTCCCTCAGGGTCACACGTGCCAGGTCAGCCGAGCGTTGGTAACTTTTCATCTCCCTGTGCACACAAATGTTCACACCACATCCGCTCCTGTGCACACTTACCACTCCTCAGCCTGTTGTGAGTAGAGAGCTGGAGCGCGTTTTCAGGGCAGTTCCAACGTTCCCAAACAAACTGGAACTTACACTCCTCGATGCCACTCTGGGCACCCAGGGCCACGCTGGTTGTGTACGTCAGATAGGCCTGGGGAAGGGCAAGGGTGGGGTCTCAGGTCTGCCCAGCCCGGGTCCTCTGGGGCTGAGGGAGCAGGCAGGGTTCCACTAAGGACATGGGGATGCGGGTGGGGGCGTTCCTCTGACACAATTTCCCTTCCCCTCTTTTCCTTCCCTTTGGAGCACAGCGGGGTATAAAAAGGAGCCAGGGGTCAGCCTACCTGGGGACCTGTCATCAAGAAATTACTCACTGACCTGCCGGAGAGACAAGAAACAAGGCAGAGGTGAATGGGGATGAGGCTTGGTGTGTGGAGGGGCAGGGTGCAGTGAAGGAGAGCTGAGGGAACAGAACTTACCAGGCAGAGGCGCTGAGGGTGGCACAGCATATGCCCATGGCCACCCAGATCATAAAGAGGTCCCCCATGGCCCTGCTCACCCCTGAGGGCTAGGTCCAGCCCAGGGCCAAGTCCAGAGGAGTGAGGGGAAGGGAGGGCCTTCTCAGTATTTATGGGGGAGATTCTGAATGGTCATGGGGGGGAACCAACAGCTCTTCTCATTTGTCCCTCACTGGCAGGACTGTGAGAGGCACCGACCCAATGGGGGACCAGGGAGGAGGGGACTCGGTCCAAAGCCTGCAAGGAAAGCCCCGCCCCCCTGACCTGCTCAGCCACGCCTTCTTCCCTCTCCAAAGCTGAGCGGCTGAAGGCTTTCTCCCAGCCTCTGCTTGTCTGTCCTCTGGATGGGAAAGTAGGAGTTCTGGTGGTGTCGTGGCTACCAGCTGGGCATCTAATCGCACGGTCACTTGTTCGAAACTCCCAGCTGCTCCTCGGGAGAGAGAGACGAGGCTTTCTACTCCCGTAAAGGGTTGTAGACTGAGAGCCCCACAGGGGCAGCTGCTCTCACCTGCTCTGCAGAATTGCTAGGGGTTGGAATATACTCAATGGCAGTGAGTTTGTTTTGTTTTTGTGTGAGTATGAGAAAATAAGTCATAAAACTCTTTAGGCAAGAGTTTTTCTCTCTTCCTGCTTGAGAACCCATTTCTCTAGGGCCACTCACCCCACAGTTAAGTCATTTATCCCTTTGAGCAGCACGGTCCTTGCCCTGCCTTCCTCCACAAGGTGTTATAATTATAGAGGACCTCGTTTTGGGGGCCCCCTCTATTCATTTTACCTTAGCCAACAAGGGCACCATTCCTACCTCTTCCCCTGGGGGACTACACGTTCCACCTGGGGCCTTGAAGCAGGTGTTTCTGGGAGCAGAAGCTCCTCAGGGGCCATTTCTGCAACAGATCCTTCTACTGAAGTCTACTCATGCAGTTCCCGGATGCTTCCTTCATTCCTAGGGGCTGGCGAGTCCTTTGTATGCAAACCTCGTCCTTCTGCACAGTTTCTCTAAGAGCATATTTTGTATATGAGGGCTAGCTCTCTCTACTTTGTTGACTGCTGTATCATGAAGAATCAACTTTTGGGTCACCCGAGACTGTATCTGCAAAGACAGAGGCCATTGGGACACCGCTTTGTGGCTGGGAAGTCAGCAAGTTCAGGTGTTCTAAGTTCACTCTACATTCTCAGTGTTTAAACATGCTTGGATGCATGAGCAAATGAATAACGGGAAGAACTGATGGTCCCTAGTAATGACTCCAGGTGCTATTAGGCTCTGGGTGGGGACCACTCTGAAGAGAAAGGGCAGAGGTCTTCTTGGACTGGTGAAGCTTTAAGGGTCAGAGAAAAGTGCAGTTGGGAAGTCATGCATAGCTCTGACTTATTACCCTGCACCACGGCAACATCCCCACCACTTCCCGGCAGGCACTCTGGTCCTGCTTGGGACAGCCACTCCACCAAAGGGGTGCCAGGGGCTGAGGCCTTGTTCTCCAAGAGTGGGCCAGGCCTGGTGCTGGGCTGGCACCTGCTTATCCTCTTGCAACAAGTAGGAAAATGGGAAGTGTTGACAGATTTGTAATAGCAGTGCGATGAAGTAGGGTAGGTTTGTGGAATCCAGTAATAAGAAATTTAGGCTGAGGGAGGAGACGGGCCAGTCAGGATGCAGGGTAGCAACGATGAAACATAACAACTTTCCTCTAGTTCTTCAATCCTTCCCC